CTGAAGATATTGCTCGAATGTATGCATTTAAATCGAATTTATTGTTTTTAATACTTCTTTTTCCTTTATTTAAATAGGATTGGTTTTAAAAGCATACCAACAATTGAAAAAGTTTGTGAAGCATTTCCAGAATTGGATATGGTTGATCATATGAATCGAGTTAGATTGGTAAGCAGCAAGAGAAAAAAACAGACAATTTTTTATTGACTTTTATTTATTGTGTATTATAGAGTGAAATGATTCGTACTCAAGGTGTTGTTCATAATGAGAATTTTCAGCCTATTGAAGGTAGATATTTATTTTATTCTTCTCATTAATATTTTCATTGTTGTCTTCTTTTAAGCTATTGTTTTACTTGGTGAACCTATTCAATGGGAAAGATCATTACAAGTTATTATTGATCTTCTTTTAACAGATGGTAATCCTGCTATGGTATCATCGGATTCCAACACTGAACATGATCATATACCTATTATTGCTTGTAACAGAGATCTTGTATTTAAAGCTGCTGCAGATTTACCACGTTTTGGTCATGGTGCTTTTCTTACATGTTTAGAAACACTATATAAAGTAAATTATTATTTTTTTTTACTAAGAAAATTTTCTATGAACATTTGTTTTTGATTTTTATATAGAGTATAAGTGGAAATGATCTCAAATATGCAGCATTTGTTGGTAAACCATTTGAAATTTCATATCAATATGCTGAAATAATAGCTAATAAAATAGCATTAGCTAATGGTCAACCAAAAATTGAGAGAGTTTATTTTATTGGAGATAATCCGGATGTTGATATCGTTGGTGCAAATATGTATAATCATTTATTACAACAAGCAAACAATTTAAGAACAAGTATTAGTGGTTATAGTTTATTAACAGATTCAAAATATTTAAGTGCAACATTATGTGAATCAATTTTAGTATGTACATGTGTTTATGATTCACAGAAACATAAACTTGATCGTAAAAATCCATGGAAATCACCAACAACAATTAAACTGAATGTTCTTGAAGCTGTTAAATACGTCATTTTGAAAGAAGCATGGCCATGGATTGTTAGTTGTTAGATACATTGTCATATACATAAATGTAAATGAAAAGCCATGTATTTTTTTAATGTATATTATTTTGTGTCAGATGGTGTTTTTACAGACTTGCCATTTTCATTTTGTGAGGATTTTTTTTGTTTTTGAGGAAAAATGTGATTTTTGTATATATATTATAAATAAAGATACACAAAACATAACTACTAAAATTAATTCGAATAACTATGTTCTAATCTGGCATTTACATTTCAAATCCAATGAAACCATTAAATATGAATCATTCTATTATCGTCTATATATAAATAAAGTCCTTGACCTATATTTTTTTCTGATAACAGCTGTATACAATTAATCAATCAACATATCGTATGAGGACATTTTTGCATAAATAATATAAGGAACAAGACTCTACAGATGTTAATAAAACATTTTGAAAATATTATGTATCTATATGAGTGATTGAAGCGCATATAATTTCAATAGTGTTCCGACATTCAATTTTTTTTTCTATGAGATGCTTTGTCACATGCCATACTGTGACACAATAAGATCTCCTAAAAGCAACTTTCGAAATTATTTGTTATTCGTATATCATCACGAATTTTAAAAAGTACTGTGCAATCTGATGCTCTGGTTGCTTCTTTTTCTTGTATGTAATTCTAATTTTGTTTTGATTAACTAATAATTGATAAACACGATAACCTAAATATACTTCAAAGCTTTTCATTCACGGATTTTAGAGAAAATAACAAGAGTTACTCAAAGAATGGTTTTTCAGAAACATCATATTTGATATTCTACATTGATGTGTAAAATTTAATTTGTAGTTTGGAATATTAAAAAAAAATATTATCTGACAAATCAAGCAACCAGATAAGTCAAAGTTGTATATGTAGAATCTTAAGATATTATTCAATGTTACATGATCATCAAAACATTAAAAAGAAATTGAAGAATTTATTTTTAGAACTTTGACCTCTTCTGTCCAAATCGATAGAAACAGAACGTGAATTTCTCTTCTCGTTCTACAATGGCTTATCTGTACGATAGAATACAAAACACAATTATGATATATAGAGAGAAACCACAACTGTATCCGACTTCTGCGCATGGAGACATTAAAACAAGCATTTTCTTTCCTATTCAATGTGGATAGATCATTATACTTCCTTTGTCTATTGGCAACGTTAATCATGTCTATGATTAATCTTTCGAGAATATCATTTCTGTAATTTTTATACGATTTGAAGTTGAAAATAATTGAACAATGATATTTGCTTGTTCCAGTATTACAAGCATATTTCATTATATTGTATACAGTTCCCAGCATTTATATTTTCATTATAAAACTGAGAAATCGAGATAAAAGTGATTGAACGGCATGAGTAACTATACTTAGAAGGTTTCTTGCATTTTGCAACATTGAGTGATACATCTACGAATACTTGTTCTATTACTTTCTTTAATAGATGATAAAAATTATCGATTTTCTTTATTCGTTGTTGTCTAGAGACTGTTGCGTGATCTCAATGAGCATATACCGAATGACATGCATGTGGACGCGTTTGAAGGAACCTGAAATTTTTTTTCTTGTAGATTGGTGCTGCGGCATTATCATTAATCAGATAACGGACATCTCTTTCCTAGCAGCATACCCATGAAAAAAAAATTTGCAAAAAGTCGCAGGAAAACGCTTTCATAGAAATCGCGGTTTCAGCCGGTTTTTTTCGATTGCAGGAGTCAGACCATCAATCCACCTTCCAATAACCGTAAAAAACCGCGGTGTCCAAGAATGCGGTTTTTCGCGGTATTCGAAAGGTGCATTAATGCTCTGACTCCTGCAATCAGAAAAACCCGGTTAAAACTGCGGTTTCACACGGCCCGGTTTTCCGCGGTTCTCAAAAGCTGCACTGATAATCTGACTCCTGTAATCAAACAAAACCGCGATTCTATAGATCGAGTTTTGTCGCGATTTTCTATGAATATTTTTCCCTGGGAGATCCCAGTTCTTTTCATTTCCATGGTATTGCCATGATAAATCAAAGATATATGATTGTTTCACAAGTTACAAAATCGCGGTACTGTAACTTGTAAAACAATCACATATCTTTGATTTATCATGACAATACCATGAAAACGAAAAGGACTGGAACCATCGACTAGATTGAATATCCAATTTATTATAATTAATACTTATTGTTGGAACTATAGTTGGCAATAATCTAAAAACAAAATAAAATTATTTATTTAAATTCTTACTCTTGCTGTCGAACTTTAGATTGATCTAAAATAAAGGAAAAAATTATTTATTTATTTATTCATTTCAATATTCACTGTTGATGTCGAACTTCAGGTTGATCGAAAATAAAGGAACAAAATTATTTATTTATTTATTTAAGTACTTACTGTTCATCTGGATGTTGAGATTAAGGGTGTGGGTGTGCGTGTGGGTGTAAATCATTTTCTCATAAACAATCACACCCACACCCACCCTCGATTTCATATTGAATATGAAAGTAAAAAGAAGGAAAAC